CGGTTTTTAATTTTTAATGACAGTAATGAGCGTCTATTAGTAATTGGCTGCCGTCCATATATATTTATTTTTTATTCAACATTTATTTCCAATTATATCCTTCAAATGGGCGGAATTTTGCCTCCAAAAAGTGTAGCAACTTTGCTACTTTATATAATATAAAGATTTATTTCCAATTATATCCTTCAAATGGGCTGGATTTTTGCTTCCAAAAAGTGTAGCAACTTTGCTACTTTATATAATATAAAGAATATATTTGTCCATTGTTAAGCATTAATCCTAACTAATCCTAATATCATTAATAGTTTTTGGTTTTCTTGTGCTAGAGAAATAATGTTTGTTATGTTTAGTTTAGTTTGTGAATTCATTTACACATTCATTGCATGTAATAATGTAGCTATAGTGATAATATGTTTTTACTTGTTATTAGTATTAATTAACTTTTATTTTTATTTAACTTAAAGAATTCGTATTGATGAAACAATAAATATTTATCTCAACTATATCACATATAACGTATATACTCATGAACTTTTTTTGAACTAGTCACAAACAATGTAAATTAATAATATATACTTTTATCTCTCTCGCATACTCATATAATTCATGACATATTTATTTATTTTCATTTTTATTTTATTTGTTGTAGTGTGCTTGCATTCTTTATGTAATATATGTTTGATCCTTCAAAGTATTATATCATTTTTAAATCAAATGATAATTTTTTGGTAAAAACCCGAAAAAATCGAAACCGAATCGAAACAAACCAAACCAATCAAACCGTGGTTCCAAGTTTTGGAGTGTAGAACCGAACCAAAACTGAACCGAACTTTTTACTTTGATTCTATATTTGGTTTTAGGTCAAAACCGAACCGCAAGAACCGAACCCACCCCTATTTTATTTGGCCCGATAAAATAAAATATAATTAAACAGTCCGAGAAATACAACTTTCGGGGCTGATTGTACAAATCAGGACACAAAGGGATGACCTCCCACACGAGTGGGGGCCACCTCACGTTTTTGTGTTCAAGGTTGACAAAAGGGGGCTGCATTATGGGAGAGGAGTGGTTGAGAAGAAGAGGCACCCAAATAAAATAGAGGTGAACCTCTTTTCTTTCACTCATTGCTCAAAGAGACAAAAGAGAAGCCCACCCCCTCTTTTCCTCACCTAATTTTCAGCCAGCACCAAGGGGGGAGAGAGAGGAAGCTCTGCAACTTCATACTCCATAGTCAAGAGAGCTCAAGCAAGCAAGGAGCTTAAGGGGGAAAGAAAAGGGTTGCAAATTAGAGAAAAACCTTGAGAATAAAGGTGAGAAGCTCTTTAATGACCTTTCTTCTATCTTTTATTTATGAAATGGCTAGCGTAGCATATGAGAAGCCCCTAGTTGGAAGGTGGTTTTAAGTCCAAGAACGGACTTAGAAGCCAAAACGACCGGTTCGCCGGAAAATAACCTTTTCGAGGTTATTTGTATTGATATGAGTTTTGTGATGATAAAACCATGTTAGGAGCTTAACTGAGGTGTTTCTAAAGTTCGCCAGAGTTCGCCGGAGTTCTCCGGAGTTCGCCGTAGTTCGCCGGAGTTTCGCCGGAGTTCAACCGAGGAGCGTAGAACACGCTAAAGCTCATTTAAGGTGAGTGGACGGGTTAATATCTTATAACTTTTGAGTTAATTATGAGATTACCTAAGTAAATGTTATATGTGTTCATAATGATGTTTAAAAGATATTTAAACATGTGATTAGCCAACATGGTTAAGTTTGTAAGAAAGGAATTAATTGTTTATGCATGAAATATGATATGAGGAATTATATACAAGGCATATTTGCTTGAAGTGCAAGAGAAGCACAAATGGATATTACTAACTTAATTATATGATGATTAAGTTGAGATGTACAAGGCTTGAAATGGCGGTCAACGAAAATGTTGACCGATGGATAATGGATTAATGAATACCGGTTGGTATTAGTTAATTATAAATTTATATAAATGTGTGGCTTTGCATGGATTGAGATGCATAAGCTTTATGTATTGATTTAGCTATGAATGAATAAATATGATATAGACTCTATCTAGGTTGATAGGAGGTTGATCATTGGATTATAAACTTGGTGGAGGACCCTAGGATTTGAAGTCCTTAACTCTCATATTATAAATTGGTGGAGGACCCTAAGACTTGAAGTCCTTAACACTCATATTATAAATTGGTGGAGGACCCTAGGACTTGAAGTCCTTAACACTCGGATTATAAATTGGTGGAGGACCCTAGGACTAAAAGTCTCTAACACTCAAGTAATATTGGTGGAGCACTCAAGGATTATGTTATTCTCAAAACTCATAGATTATGATATTAAAATAAGGATAAGAAGGAGTCGTATACACTTATAAGTATATGGGTGGATTGAGGTTTTTAGTCAAGAATATTGACTATTACTATTTTCTCCAAATAAAACAGTGATATACGAATCAGGTATTTTCCAAGTGTATATATACTATTAAGTATTTCTTAACTTGGGGGAAAAGACTATTTACATAAGTATCACCCTACGTTTGGGTCTTATACTTGAAACGCTAGTTATTCAATATTTAGCCTGCTACTCGCTCGGTACTTGTACTGACCCCTTCTGGGGCCCCACCATTTTCAGGTTGAAGCTAGGGCTTGCTACCTGCACCTTTCTACGGGTGACATCAAATTCAAGGAAGACGTGGTTTGTGCTTCCTCATGTTCTTTCAAATGACTAAACATTGCTCATGGATATTTTTATTTGTTTTAAACTACTTTTGGGCTTGCATGCCCATGTTATTGGCCGAGTGTGACCTATGATCTACCGCTGAATATTTCCGATATTCAATGGTTCAATTTGTGATGTTGTTATGTATGTTTACTACTGAGTATGGATGGATTGTTTTCTCGAACGCCTTGTATGATTAAGTGAGGTTGACCTGCGGGTGACGTCACTCGATTATACGACGGTTGTACACACACTTGGATTGCGGTCCGAGGCGTGACACACACACACGCACACACACACACACACACACACACACACACATATATATATATATATATATGGAGCGGTTCCGGTAAGAACGGACTCCTAGGAGAGAAATGAGAACGAATCTGGACCGTTGGATTGTATTATGTGGAACTGGATTGTGCATTTGGTGAAACTGAAATGTGTAGATCAAAAATTTAAACTCAAGTGTGCATTAGGTAAAACTGAAATGTGCGGAATAAAAGGTACAAAAATAACATCACATCATACCTTTTATTCTGCACATTTCAGTTTCACCTAGTACACATTTTAATTTCACATAATGCACTATTCAGCCTCATATATTGCCACTGTATTGCACATTTGTGCTGCACATTTCATTTTTTGATGAAGTTTTTATTGTATATTATTCATCAAGTCTAGTTTATCCATACCAAATTTGAGCTCAAAATTCGATCGGGAAGGTCTTCAAATGATTTTTTTGAAGTTGATTGTGCCAAATTACACATAGAAAAACACAGTCAACTTCAAAAAATCATTTGAAGGCCTTACCGATCAAATTTTGAGCTGAAATTTGATATGGATAAACTATACTTGATGAAGAACATACCGTAAAATTTCATCAAAAAGTCCACCGGGAACCGCCCCGAACGGCGTTGTTCGGACGGCGCATCTTTATATATATATATATATATATAGATTTAGGCTCAAGTGAGAAAACCATCTTAGGAGAGAAATGAGAAAGAATATCAACCATTAGATTTAAAAACAAAAATCATATAACGTTGTACATACGTAAAGGCTATTCAGTCATTTCATCTTTGCATTAATTAGCATTAATGTTAAGATCCATTTCTTTGACCATTTTTATGGTAGTATGTTGGCCGTTTGGCAATTGTCAATGCATTAATACTTTTTTTTTGAGTTTTTATTTATTACTTGGTATTGTTCAAATTATGCACTTTTGATAAAATATTTTTCTACTCAAAAAACAAATACTATGCCAAATAAATATCATGACTATGCCCAACATTCTTTGGAATATAAAAAAATTATAATTTTGTTAATATACGATAATACGAACATGAAAATTTAAACATGTCTAATTTAAAATATAGTGCATAATAATACGCATAGGGTGCACGATGCATTATGTGATACAAAACCTATAAAATGCATAATATATTGACTATAGCAGAAAATCGGTAAAAAGTGCACTTAATTAAGAAGTTAAGGTGCATACTATTGGGTTTTAATTTTGATGCACCTCTAAAGCTGAAAACGTGCATAATGTAAGTGTTTTAGTAAAATGTGTATAAATTGAATATAATGCAAATTAAAAGCTAAAATCCTAAAAATGTGTATTAAGTTATATAGTATATAAAGTGCATGTGATTTAAGTAAAAGGGGATGAGTTCAAATGAAAAGTGCACTTCACATGAAAAGTAAGACCAAATGGCTCTAAGTATGCCAATAATGCATTAAATTGATAAAAAATGCAGTGACATATTTGTAATCAAGTAAAAAAATCGTCACTCTTAAAAGTGCATCGTATGAAGCCAAAAGTGCATCGTACAAGACAATAAGTGCACTGGTTCACACTTGGCATGAAGACACCACTTTTTATTGGAACCACATCTTAAGTAAAACTACACCTAAATAATAATAATAATAATAAATAAATTCATTTTATGGGGATTGTAAAGTCTATTATTATTATTGCAATTATAATTGCATAATAATTTAAATAAAAGTGCAACTACAAAATTAATAATTTAAAAGTTCATATATTTTTTGCACTTGTAGATATTCCACTACTACAAGAATGACATACAACGTCACACCATTAACGTCGGTTCTCAAATAACTGACGTAGTAGGGGACCTCGAAACCATTTTACGGTTGTTATCAAAAGAACTGACATCGTACACTTTAAAAAAACGCAGGCGCTATTTTTTATTTTATATTGAGACTTTTAACGTCGGTTTGCAAAGAACCGACTTAGAAAAACTGTCTCAAAAATTAAAAATCATCCCAAGCTGGCCTCTTATACTATACGATCAAGGTACGATCAATTAAAAACCCTTCGCCCCCATGAGCTTCATTTCCGTCGTCCCAGCCAAACCTTTCGCCGCCATAGCTTCGTCTCCGTCGTAAGTTTTACAGAAGCGCCAAACCCTTTTCCATGAGCTTCGTTTCCGTCGTCCTGCAGCCAAACCCTTCGCCATGAGCTTCGTCTCCGTCGTCCGCCAACCAAACCCTCCGCGACTGTACAGCTTCCACTACCTCTTGCTGGACGGATAATTGGCCCTCGTGCTCGACGGTTAACTGGCCTGTTATCTCCTTCGACGAAACTAGGTCCTCTGCGGAACCTGGTAAGTCCTCTCCTATTCTCAATTTGTCCATCAGATTTTTCCATATTAGGCGTGGAAGCAACAACCCCTTTTATATGCATTTTCTGAACATTATATTATTTAGGTTTCAATCCCATCCATAATCTTATACCATAGTTAGAGTACATCGAGTTTGAGGGCATCAAGTTTGCATCAGTCATCCAGAGCCAGAGGCCGAGCTAGCCAGCTAGGGTTTTGTTCAATTTTCAAATCTGTTGTTTTGCTCTTTGATTTCATTTCTGCTAAGGTATACTCAAATTACATTTTTTGTTCAATATACACTTAATTAGTTATGCTTTAAAGTTTTGACAGCCAGAAGTCCGGACTTGTAAAATTTCTACTATGGTTTGCTGGATATTTCGAAATTATATATCTAAAATATAGATGGTGTTTCTAAGGTAGACATGATTCTTATTGACAAGAAAAATCGTGGGCTAAATAATGGAGGACTTTCCATTTTGACCTCGGCAATTACTGATCAAGAACAGAATGACATAGTTCTGAATTTCAAGAATGGGCTAATGACATCTGGAAAAGCAGTTAAACTAAAAAAATTAGCCCTCATGACAGTTTCTGAAGAAGATACCTCTAGAGTTTATGATGGTTGTCCATCGAAATTCTTGATCTCTTGTTTGAATAAGATTGAAAATGATCTGAATCATAATGGAGCCTTCGTTGATGAAAAGTTGCAATTGCCAGCAAGGATTGCCGTTTCTTATTCAAAGCATGCTAAACAGTATATTATTGATGACCGGATTAATAAGATAAAGGCTCTGACGGATTCCCTCTAGCACTTCAGGTTAGAGTTTCTGTTTTCATCTTGTTATTCTTATCATGTTCATAATTTCTTATTTTCTATATCTATCTTTCCTTGCTTTGAAGGTATGGTGTTATCTATGGTTTATTTCTTCTTTCTTTATTTCTAGCTTTTCATTTAAAGTTTTTTTAGTTTTTTATTCTTTTCTAGCATGTTTTATATTTTAAAAACTTGTATTCCTTTAATTGGGCTTTTCAAATGATATCTAAGGTATACTGGTTTTGCGTTGAATGTACATATGTATGCTATAAAGATAACAGATGCTTGCATATTTGCTAATCAGAGTTGCTATTTTTTCAACAGTGATTTGGACGTTTTAATGTTCCAGCTAAACGTATGTCATGATATTGATCAGCCTGTCTTGCCCTTGCAACCCCGCCTATTGCTTCTTCATAATTATATCCTTTTAATTGCTTTTCTGTTTGCTCAATGGTTTCACTGCTCTTTGAAGTATGTTTTCAGCAACTTGTTTACCTCGATAGGCATATTTGATCAGGTAGATTAGTAGGTGTTCGTTCCCTGTGTGTTAAAAAGTTCAAGTGTTTTTAAAGTAGTAAAAATGTTAGATTCATTCATTTGAATCAGTACTAATATTCCTATCTATGAATTCCCACAGGTAATCAGAATAAGTTTTGTTTTTCTTTTTCAGGTTTTGCCGTTTTTATGAGTATTGTGATGTTGAATAAGGTTGTCAAAGTCGAGCGCCTGAGCGCTTAAGCGCACCAGGCGCAGTGCAATAGAGGTCCAGTGCTCTAAAGATGACCAGGTGCACCCTCCTCTCTCAGGCACAGCTTAGGCGCACCAGGCGCAGAAGCGCAGCAGTGATTTTAAACGCTCGCTTATCGCGTCTGACAGGGGAAAGTCTATTTTACGTTTTACTGAGACAGTTTCTCACATGTGCGGTCAATTAAGACCATTAAGAAGCCCATATTTTTAATAAAGCCCATGTAAATAAGGTTAAATAAGGTTAATAAAGACCATTAAGAAGCCCATATTTTTAACCTACGCTAAACACATAACGTAAACATCCTGCTCTGCTGTACTGTTACATGTTCGCAAACTCCTCATGTACCTCAACATCAACCGCAAAGCTTGCAGCAGTGCAGCACTCAAAGATCAAAATAACTGCTTACTTGAATATTTCTTCTCCTAGCTACCATGAAGTAAACTGTCCATGTATATAAGTAAACTAACTGCTTACTTGTATACTTCTTCTCCTAGCTACCTTGTAAACTATCCATGTAAACTACTAGTACATTTTTTCACCATTTTCTCAAACATATAATTCTTGTACTCTGTAGAACTCTTGTTTGTATGTTTCAGGTAGTCATTTCTATAGTCTAAACAACTTAAACATATATGTAAACTAGTTGTATACTTATATTTTTACCATGTATATGTTTCAGCTACTTGTATTTTTTTATCATGTATATGTAATATGTTTCAGTTACTGTATTTTTTTACCATGTATAGTTGTATACATACTACCAGTCCATATTAGCAAACTACCATTTTCTTTACCACATATACATACTATGATACAACCAGTCCATTGTCTTTATTTTTTTCAGCATGTAGTTGTTGTTATATACTTCGTACTATTTAGAACTCATACATGAAAGTATACTGTATATATAATATTTGACTTGTGTATTTTTTTACAGGACATGGAAGTTGGAACTTCAGCCACGAGTTCCGAAGCTGCTAAATCAACAAAAATATTGGTTAATCGTAGTGCTGAAAAATGAAAAAAGAACCCATAAAATATGCTAGTAGGCAGTCCACAATTTGTAGTACACGTACTAGTGGAGTAGTAGTAGGCTTGTGGATGAGGGAAGTGATGGAGAAATTGAAGAGGATGTAGGAGGATATAAATTAGAAAATGGAGAAGAAACAGACTCATCTTTTCATGACAAATAGTCCTGCAGAAAATGGGGAATTGGGCTAGAAAACTAAAATCTAATTATGTTTTATTTTTTAGTTTTAATGTTTAAGACTTTAAGTGAATCATGAGCCATGACTTTATTTAGGTTAATCGTGACTTTATTTTGTTTAATCATGAGTTTATTTGTATGAAACATGACTTTTTAATGTAGTTGGTTCAATATGTTGTTATATAGATCATGTTTGATTGTTGGAGAGTAGTATGTGTTATTTTTTCTAAGCAGTGGACTTGACATGAGTCAGGCGAGCACTTTTTTGCACTATATTTTTGGGCTAATATATGAAAGCACCGGCCCGTACCAAAGTCTCCAAGTAAACTTGCTCATTGCTGTCATCCTAATGATATCAAGTTTATTTTATTGATTATGACCTGATTATTGGGCAGGGATATAAAGAGCTTTGATGTTTCAGACCTTAAGAACTTTGAAATGAAATTCAATACACCTTGTTTATGGCACAAATGCTCAATCGCATTCCTTAGAGGTATTTTCACTTACTTTTTGATAATATTCGCTACTTGTTATGTGCAACTTAGCTTGTTGTCAGTTCATTACTTATTCGATACATATTGTGGTTTCCAGTGTATTAACATTTGCCTTATGTTATGAATTGAAATATGTTGTCAGTTCATTACTATGATGAGCTTAGGAAACTGTTGTGTGTATGAACTAGTTTAAATTGGTAACTAGTTTCAAACTTTCATGGGCTGATGTACATATAGCTAGGTTTAGTTTATAGTTTTAGTTAGTTGGGTAGGGCTGATTATGTCCAAATATAATATGTCGGAATCTTTTAAGTTCAGTTCATTTAGATTAGAAATGTGATTAGTCATGACATATTTGTCTTTGAATTGCATTTTGCTCTGTATTTTAATGTCTTTTTTGTTCTATCTTACACATAGTAATTTTGGTGGGACTGTTCTTCTCTAGCATTTGGAATTGCAATTGGGAGGTTGAGGTTATGTCTTGGGACTGTTTTTTTCTAAGGATCAATTGCAGGTATGGTAATGTAGGTTGGTGTCGGAGATGGGTTAGCATTTTGTGATTTCTGAAGGGTTATTTGATATCTTCTCCTGCACGTCCTCCTGTTTCCGCACTCACACAGCTAGTTACTATAACTCGGTCTTGAATTGGCAGCACTCTGGGTGCCAGATTTGCTTTTTTCAGAGTTCAAGTTTGGAGAAGATTGTCTTTGATCATCTGTGAGATTGGCGGGTGGTCTCTTGTGTTAGAAGTATGATATTGAATATTGATTTTTTTGAACTTTAAATTGTAATCGCAAGTAGTCTTCTGCGTAGTATGTATTGAGCTGTTGCACTTTGTGTAATCTGTAAATTTTGGATGTATGGTACTAATTTTCAATTTTTGGAAGCATGTAAATTATAGTGCATGTATATTTTTTTTTCTAAAAAGTTACTTCTAACGTCAGTTTTTTGAGAGAACTGACGTAATATGTATTTTTTTTTTGAATTATATTCAACGTCGGTTTTGTTAAATAACCGACGTAACATGTATTTATTTTATTTTTTCGAAAATATATATAACGTCGGTTTTTTATAAAATCGACGTGGAAGGTAACTTCTTACGTCGGTTTTATAACCGACGTTGTAGGGTCTAACCTATAACGTCTCTCACTTACACGTCGATCCCAGAACCGACGTTAAAAGTATAAAATAACCGACGTTATATGTTCTTTCTCTAGTAGTGTTCATGCTGCACATATAGATGAAAAACCTTCCACCTTTTACCTTATTTTTTGCTAACTAAAGAGAATTTAATAAAATAAAATAATATGGAGTATGTTAATGTATAGTACGTGTAGGCCTTTAATTCAGGTCATGGCTCTTTAATTTACAACAATGTCCTTCACGTAATTTTTAATTGAACTAATAGTACTTGTCATTAAATGCTTTCCATAACTAATGTCTTGTACGTATGTATATTTGTGATCGTCGGATTGATTGTGTGAATGACAAGATTTTATTATTATTTTTCTCATGGAGCTTCATTCTCACCGGAATCGCACCCTATATATATATATATATATATATATATATATATATATATAATATGTATATATGGGAGCGGATCAGGTGAGAAGTGCCCTTAGGCTGAGAACTGTAAAGTTTAATTTATAGACTAAAAAATCATAAATCATAGACCCCCTCAAAAATAATTACGAAAATGGCACCGCAAAAAATAACTTCAGAAACCTTCAAATGTTTTTTGACGTGGTGGCATTTCCATAATTATGATGAAGAGCTTTATAAGTTATGATTTATTGGTTAAAAGTTTCTATATCCAGTCTATAAGTTTACTGCGTTGTAAGATTAGATACAAATCCCAGGGCTGAAATTACTTCTCACTTCTCATTTTAAGGGGAAATTCAAAGAGTGCATCTTTACATTATTTTTACTGCATATTGAAGTTCAAAGTGATGCATATTATTGAGTTTGTAGGTTAGTAATTTTAGCATGGTTTGTATTTGATCTCGTATATATATAGGGAGTGATTCCAATGAGAACCATGCACTTTTAACACAATTTGGTACACTATGGGCATCATCTATTACACTTTTTAAACTTTGGTCAAAATATGCTAACATCAAATAAATGTTGTGGCGAATTTGTAAATATTTTTTCAACACCAAAATGTGCAACGTATACATGATATAGTGCATCACACTTGCTTAAAAGTGGAGTTCTCACGTTCTCACGTTAAACATGGTTCTCATTTGATCCTAAAACTATATATATATATGGCATTTTTTGTAACCCTCATTTCATGTTTTAATAAAATCGTCTACATTTCCCGCTAAAAAAAATCCAGACAAGTCACATTCACTTATAATCCATATACATTGTATACAAACAACGAAGCATTCCAGTCGAACTGGTTATGAGGTTACCGTGCCTAGTGGGAGGTCTCGAGTTCGCAACCCGCTAGCCACATAAGGGTTTGAAACTCAATGGAGTGAGTTTCAGTCCTGATTACTCCAGGTCACCCAGCCCCCCTCCCCGAGATGCCCCCTGGTGTAAAAAAAAATATTGTATACAAACAAATCAAAATATCACAACAAATTGTCATGTACATATCACTTGGACACTCTCAAATATCATCATTGATTACACAATGCTCATATCAGTTTCCATAGTTCTCAATTATAGCCTCAACCTAACAAAATCTATCTTCCAAATACATTTATATGTCATTTGTATTCCCTCATATAATCCAGGCAAGTGGCATTCACTTATAATCCAAATACATTGTAAATGAACAAATTAAAATATCATAACAACATGCCATGTAAGACACTCTCAAATATCATCATTGACTACACAATACTCATATCAGTTTCCATACTTCTCAATTTAATTAGCCTCAACCTAACAAAATCTATCCTCCAAATACATTTACATATGGCATTCGTATTTGTGTGAACTATGCCCAGATTCAACAGTCGACTAATCTAAAAATAATAGAAATAATTTAAACAGTAGAAGAATAATTCAACATCAATTCATACCGTATATTGATAATGATGAAACAATGAAGAACAATACACCGATGTAGAGAGAGAATTATTCTAGGTGTTCTACGAAAATAATATGTGGAATAAAATGTGTAGAGACTTAGCGCTGTTTCGAGCCATCTCAGCCTATATTTATAGGAGAGATATTTCGACCAACCCTATTACAATTAGGACGTGCGTGTGGGCTTTTTTATAGCACTTAATTTGGGCCTAATTCTCTTTTAATTAATCTAGCTAATACAAATACTTATTAATAAAATTACAATTATTTTTGAACACAATAAAATAATGATCTAACAGTATTCCCTCATATAATCTAGGCAAGTGGCATTCACTTATAATCCAAATACATTATATACAAAAAAATCAAAATTTCACAACAATATGCCATGTACAATTGTACATATTACTTGGACACTCTCAAATATCATCATTGACTACACAATTCTCATATCAGTTTCCATGCCTCTTAATATAACTTTAACCTAATAAATCTATATGACAAATAGTGATATTTGGCATTTGTATTCCTGAATGAAAACCAATGAACTTGCATTATGAAATGCATATATAAAACATTGCATGTCATTTTCCATACTTCTCAATATAACATTAACCTAATAAATCTACTCCCTCTGTCCCTTATAACTTTGGCAACTTTCCCTTTTTGAATGTCCCATTAACTTTGCCGCTTTCCGTTTTAAGTAAAGAATTTGTGGTTTCAGTTAATTCTCTCTCCTCTGCAAAAACCTCACCTACACAGTTTTTACTTTATTAATCACCATGCCGGTCAAACTTGGCAAAGTTATTAGGGACGGAGGGAGTATATGACAAAACCGATATTTGGCATTTGTATTCCTGAATGAAATTCAGTGAACTTGCATTTTATGAAATGCATATATAAAATACTGCATGTCAATCCGATTAAATGAAACAAGTATCATCGAATATATATGGTATTCATATGCATTTTCGAATGTTATAGTTTCTTATCATACAAACCGTTTTGGAATTAATTCTGATCTGTATTAAACTCCGCATGTCCGGTTCGAAATCAGAGTCTTTCATTTCATTTTGGAAATCACAGTCTTCCATATTCATTCAACCTTCGAGCATAACTCGTCGTTGTCTTTGTTCTAGTTCCACTTCTTTGTCGGAAGAGTTGTTCACGAGCTTGTGGCTTTCTCTACGCATTCATATCTGTGTGTTTAATTTTGAATACCTCGAAGCTTTGGAAACCAAATTTCCGGCGCGCTCGAGTTCCGTGTCAGTTTCCAAATGGAAAATTGAAACAGTAGTTTCCTATTGCCTTACATGGCTGGAGGTTATATTTGGAAGTTCAGTTTTTTTAGTCCTATGCGGATATATGCTTAATTTGGACTCCTAATTTTGAAATTTCATTATTATTTAGTCTTATTTGGGTACATTTCTCTTAAAATCAGCATATTTTTATCCATGAGTTTTCACTTAGTACTTCGAAATATTTATGATGTTTTTAATTGGGCTGACATTTTTTGATCTGGTCTAGTCTGATTTGAATTGATTTGGTCTGAATTGATCTGATCTGGCCGGATAGATATCAAATCTATGTGTATTTTATATATGCCCATTCTGATCTGGTTTGATCTCATCTAGTCCGTTTTGGGATTCAAAACAATTCTAAAGTCAAAATTCCAAACACTATTTCCTGCCCCCCCAAACGGACCCCTAAAAGTCAAGTGTTCTAAAGCGAGCTAATCCTCTTTAATCTGCAAAAGACCTCTGTGATTTCAAAGCAGTCGCCCCTTAACCTCAAGCTCTTCGATTTCTGGTCAGACTTGACAAGGTACCCTTGTCTTCCTTTTCTAATTGTTGGGATGCCCATTAGGAACATTCCACCTCGGATGCGCTTTTTTTCTGAAATCAATCGAACTAAACTAAATTTCTATTGATGCGATCTGGAGTTCTCGTTCAACAGATCATTTGTCCGCAGAAGAGGGGTCAAATTGAATAGCTCTACTACAATTTTTTCAAAAGATTATTTATATAAATAAATAATATAAAGTAATTTTCTTTCCTATTTTAGATTGTCAGAATTGTACTCGGGGAAAACATGTATTTAGTTTTTTTTTGAATTTTCGTGCAGAACTAAGGATGTTTTTTTGCCAAAAATACTAAGTATGTTTTTATCTGGAATGGTCTGTTCTGTTTTTTTGCCAAAAATACTAAGTATGTTTTTATCTGGAATGGTCTGTTCTGGTCTGATCTGAATTAGTTTGATCTGATCTAGTAATGTTTGATATGGTCTGGGTAGTAACAAGTAACTATATCCGTTTACCAGAATATTTGAATAGTGCGTCTTAATTTGTTATTTGAGTTTTTTTGCTTCTGCCAAATGTTATGGTGTTATGGACTTGACTACACTAGGGTTATGGACTTGACTACACTAGGATCTGCACTGATGTAGTCTAATTTATATCAGTTTTTGTGTTTGAATGCAAATGCCAAATCTAATGAGTTAGAATTTGTTTTATCACAGCTGAGCTGAAATCAATGGCAGGGTCTGGTAGTTCTATGTTATATTCATTTGTTCTTTTTGTGACCACCATCTCACTGCAAGAACTGTTTAGAGCACAGTTAGCCTCTTCTGAGTTGTATACTATCCTTGGAGGCCTCACCAGTTCTTTCATATTCCTTACTTTGCTAACGGTAAAACTCACATTCTTTATCTTGTGTGTTTGCATAAAGGTGCATTGCACTTACAACAACAACAAAACAACACAAAGATAAATAGATCATCCTTGATGATGTCATCTGCAATTGTATTCACTTAAGACTAAAGTGACATTTCTCCTGTTTTGAGAAATGTTATCAAGTAATGACATTTAGAGGCATGTTTCTCAGTTGTTCTTTTTAGGATGGAGTAAACTGGTCATATGTTTACATCGAACAAGGACAGTGGAGGATCCAGGAAAAAATGTTATTGGGAGCATTAACTAAACACAATTTTCTAAAAGTCGCGAAGTGCTAGTTGGGCGATGACTGGCCGCCTAGCGCTTAGCCCGTCTACGCTGGCACCTAGGTTTTTTTTTTCATTTATTTTTTAATTTTTTCATTTCCTTTGAATTTTAACAATCTTTCCTAATAATTTTATAGTATTTTGACAATAGAAAGAACTAATATAATCATTAAATGTTATGCTTTTTGTAGTAAAATTATCGTTAATAAAATAATTAATAGATAAATGAAGAGATTTGGGCATTTTAATCTCTAAAAATGTTCATACTTCGTATACATTCACAAAACTTTACATACATGTAATTTTTTTTTGTTGTAGGAATATGATAGTGAGTTTTATAGGAATATAACACTTATTAATCAAACGGTGTTTTAAGACAAAACGAGAAAAATTAGTTGGGTCGCGAACAAATTTAGTCCAGGCCGCCAAATCACCATCTAGCCTGCCTAGCCACTTAGGCGGCCGCATAGTCGGCCAACTTATTTTTCCCACCGATTGCCACGAAATCGGGGCGCTCGGCCACCGTGTAGGCCGATTTTATAACCATGGGTAAACATAATATTACAACATGTGGTAATTTGTTTTCAATCACATAAATCTCCCTTTACCCCAAATTGAATTAATTGTCTTGTTTCAGTTTGTACAGTTATGATTAAAGTTGTTGAAAAAGTAAACTAAATAATGTGGTTGGGTTTTGAGTATAAAAAAGTGAAATGTTACGAAAACATATTTTCTGCAAATAAAAAGGAGCAAGACAATTACTTTTAAACAACACAAAGAAAAATAGCTATTAGAGGTAGGGGATTACAAATTAAATGCAGAAATTATAATCAACCATTACCGATTTTTATTTTTAAATAGAACAGAAAAATATGTGAAAGCAAAATACTTAAAAAGAGGAAAGAGTAGTTAAGAGAAGCCTAGCAAAAAAATAGAGAAACTTAATTTAGTTCTGAAGTTGCTCTGAATTTTAAAACCAGGTTCTTTGTGAAAGTGTTTTTTGCTTCTCCTTATAGAGGTAATGTAAGTTTTAGGAATAAAACTTCCTTGGTATTATTGAGCCATCCGGCCATGGTATATATACATGTTACAGATAAAATCAAGTTGTTACAGATCCTAAAAAATAGGATCTATCTATTCTATCTATTCTGTGAGCTTATCTACTAATTAGAGAGTCCTATCTACTCTAATTCTTATCTACACAGTTCCGGATGTACAAGTAATTAAAATAACAAGAATATGTTACATTTTTCTACACTCCCCCTCAAGTTGGTAAGTATATATCACACATTCCCAACTTGCTTATAAGTAGCTCAAATATAGGTCTAAATAACCCTTTGGTGAAGATATCAGCTGTTTGATCTTTAGTGGATACAAATGGTGTGCAAATGATTCCAGCTTCAATCTTCTCTTTAATGAAATGTCTGTCCACTTCAATGTGCTTAGTTCTATCATGTAGCACAGGGTTATGAGCAATGCTTATAGCAGCTTTATTATCACAATATAACTTCATAGGCAGCTCAATCTCCATCTTTAGTTCTGTGATTACTCGTTTGATCCAGAGTAACTCACATATTCCATTAGCCATAGCTCTGAATTCTGATTCTGCACTACTTCTAGCAACCACATTTTGTTTCTTACTTCTCCAGGTTACTAGATTTCCCCATACATAGGTGCAGTATCCAGAGGTAGATCTCCTATCAGATATTGAGCCAGCATAATCTGCATCAGTAAAAGCTTCAATGTTCCTATTGTTTCCCTTTTTGAAAAACAATCCTTTCCCTGGACAGCTCTTCAGGTATCTTAGAATCCTGTAAGTAGCATCAAGATGTTCTTGGAAAGGATGATGCATAAACTGACTTACCATGCTTACTGCAAATGCAATATCTGGTCTAGTGTGTGCCAGATATATTACTTTTCCTACCAATCTTTGATATTGGTGAATATCAACTGGATTTCCCTCCTTGATATCTCCCAATTTCTGACTTGGGTTAATTGGAGTGTCTGCTGGTTTGCAGGCACTCATTCCAGTTTCCTGTAGAAGATCTAAAACATATTTCCTTTGTGAGACAACAATACCCTTCTTTGATCTAGCTATCTCCATTCCTAGGAAAAATTTTAAATTTCCTAGGTCTTTAATCTCAAATTCATGAGCAAGTTTGTCTTTCAATCTTTTAGTCTCTGTGTGATAATTTCCGATAATATCATCTACATAGACAATTAAGATTGCAATCTCCCCCTTACCTGAAAACTTCATGAATAAAGTATGGTCAGCTTGAGCTTGATTAAATCCTTGCTTTTTTATGAACTTTGTGAATCTGTCAAACCAGGCTCTTGGAGACTGTTTAAGTCCATATAAAGCCTTCTCTAATCTGCAAACCTTTAACCCAAACTTATTTTCAAACCCAGGTGGAGGTTCCATGTACACTTCTTCTTCAAGTTTCCCATTTAAAAAAGCATTCTTTACATCCAGTTGTTGTAATGGCCAGTCTAAATTGGCAGCAAGAGAAAAGAATTCTTACAGTGTTCAACTTTGCAACTGGTGCAAAGGTTTCTTTGTAATCAATTCCATAGGTCTGTGTGTACCCCTTGGCAACTAGTCTTGCCTTATATCTCTCCAAACCTCCATCTGCCTTAAACTTGGGGTTGAAAATCCACCTGCAACCAACTGTAGGTTTATTTTTAGGTAACTCTACAAGCTTCCATGTCTGATTCTTTTCAAGAGCCTCCATCTCCTCCAAAACAGCTCTCTTCCACTCAGGTTTAGATAGGGCATTCTGTATGGTTGTAGGAATAGAAATATAAGAGATACTGGAAGTAAAGGCTGCAAAGTCTGATGTCAATTTAGAATAAGAAACATAGTTTGAGATGGGGTATTTAACACATGTTCTTCTCTCTTTTCTGAGAGCAATAGGAAGGTCAATGTTGCTAGAAGTATTACCTTTTTCACTTCCTGACATTGAGGCAGAATCATGGACAGTTGTAGGTTTTTGAACTTCCTCTATTCTTTGATTTCTAACCCTTCTCTCATAAGTTTTTTCAAAGAACTGACTTGTCTGTTGATCCTTTTCAATTGGTTCAGTTGGATTTACTTCATTATTTTTAATTCCTTGATCATTTTCAGGTGTACTGATATTTGAAAAAACATTATCATCCTGATTAATATCAAGAAAATTAAAATTTTCATGAATATTTGGCATTATAGGAACATCTTCACTTAATTTCTCCCCCTGAAGATGAGAATCAAAAAAAGGTTGTTCTTCCATAAAAATAATATCCATAGTAACAACCATTGTTTTGGTTGTAGGATCAAAACATTTATACCCTTTTTGAGTGGCAGAAACACCTAGAAAAACACATTTTTTCCCTCTAGGATCAAACTTACTTGCAGATTTATCTGGATTTTTGATAAACACTGTGCAACCAAAAATTTTTAAAGGAAGGGTGTTTACCAATCTATTTGTAGGAAAGAAGTGTTGTAGTAAACTAATAGGACTTTTAAATCCTAAAATTTTGGATGGCATGCGATTAATTAAATAAGTTGCATGTAACACTGCTTCTCCCCACAAATATTTTGGTATGTTTGTTGAAAACATGATTGCACGAGTGACTTCAAGTAAATGTCTATTTTATCTTTCTGCAAGTCCATTTTGAGCTGGTGTATTGACACAAGAGCTTTGATGAATAATGCCTTTTTCAGAAAAAAAGTTGTTTAAAGTTTGAGAAAAATATTCACGGCCATTATCACTTCTTACCATTTTAATTTTGGTATTGAATTGAGTTTGGACCATAGCATAAAATGTTCTAAATATCTTCTCAACTTCAGATTTTTCTTTGATTAAAAATACCCATGTGACACGAGTATGATCATCAATAATAGTTACAAACCATCTCTTTCCCTTTAAAGTTGGTATTCTAGATGGACCCCAAATATCACTATGTACCAAGGTAAAAGGGCTAGTAGGTTTATAACTGTGGGGTAAATAAGTGTTTCTGTGATGTTTTGCAAGAGCACACATATCACAATTAAACAAAGCAGCATCTTTATTTAGAAATAATTGAGGAAACATCTTTTTTAAATAATAGAAACTAGGATGTCCTAGTCTATAATGAAGTAAATACAACTCTTTATTATTTGAAAAAGAAACAGTTTGCAAACAAGCATTTCTTAGACCTTTTTTATTAGATTGAGTTTCTCCATCAAAGATATAGAGTCCATCCTCCTCCTTAGCACTGCCAATCATCTTCCCCGATGCTAGGTCCTGAAAAATGCAATGAGAGGGATAAAAAATGACACAACATTGTAGATCTTTTGTTATTTTACTAACTGAAGTAAGATTGCAGGATAGATTAGGGACATGAAGAACTTTGGATAGATTCAAAGATGAAGAAATACTAATATTTCCTATCCCTGCAATGGTTGATAGAGAACCATCTGCAACCTTAACCTTTTTATCTCCTGCACTAGGTTTATATGAAGAAAAAAGGTTTGAACTAGAAGTCATGTGATCAGTAGCCCCTGAGTCAATAATCCAGGTATTTTTAGATTTCCCAGAACAAAAAAATGATGAATAAGTACCATTTTGGGCATAAGAGCAAGAGGAAGATTCTGGTTTGGATTCTTTCTGGGAATTTTGGGTTTTCTGGGAATTAAGGAAGTTAAGAAGTTGCCCTATCTGCTCCTGAGTGA